GGGAAACTTCTTGTCGGCTGAAGTCACCAGGCGATTTCTACGGGAGAATTAGTGTGATCTGTGGGGGTTCCTTTCTTCACGGTTGCGCCACGTGGCTCACTGTGAGTTCCCCCAGCAGGGGCTGAGCCCGGGGCGTGGCAGTATACTCATGCCGAGTCCTACCAGCAGACAGGCATCGGAGAGAGCATGGGGCAGACAGGTGAGGGGTGTGTGAGAGTGAGAGAAGGGCCGTCAGCGCGAAAAGGCCCGAGAAACACCCCCGGATTATGGCGGCGCTACCCTCACTGACCGTCGGTAGGAGACAGCAGCCGTTCTGAGGGGGCACCCCTCCAGCTCGTCCTCCAAACTGGGCCAGGCCAGAGCACACGGCTCCCCGCTTGCTCTCAGCCTGGTGTCTGGATTCCTCCGCAGGACCTGGGCTCTGGGGCCTCTCCGGTCCCACGGCTCTGCACTCGGGTCCTCCACCCTCTCTTGCCCTGAGTGCTCCCGTCACCTAACAGCCTGCCTCCCCGCTGCAGGCTTCCGAGATGCTGCGTCCTCTGCCTGCAGTGTCCCCCCTTCCAGCCCCCAACTGCCTGGAACAACCACTCATCCTTCACATCTCCATGTAAACTGCTGTCTGCCTACTGAGGGTGCTCCTGGCTCCCCAGCCAGGGTTAGAGGGTCATCTATGCTCCCAAGCTGGACAGGTGGGCACAGAGCCTGGAGCACTCGGAAGGCCTGGAGGAAATAAAGGCCTTTGGACGTGACATAAAGGGTGCCTCAATGAGTGATACGAGGAGTATGATGTTCTGAGAAAATGAATCTGGCCATACAGTGCCCCGAGCTCTGAAAATCAGTGTGACCTTAGGCAAAAGTTGAATACACCAAGAGCAGGTGAACGTCTGCCTGCTAGGTGTCCATTCCTCTTCATTTCCCCGTGCCAAATCATCCATTTCTCTCACTCTCTACCCACTAGTCTGGAAGGAGCTGATGCCACCCTGACTCCAGGGAAGGGCCTAGTAGAGCACCCCATGCCCCTGCCACAGTGACTGACTCAGGGACAGGCACGAGACCCTAGGTCAGTGCAACGATACTCACTTCCAGATTTCTGCTGGCAATATTAAGAAAAGAAGATCGCTTTTTCCCAGGGGTTGCTAAGCTGATTGGATGTAATGGAGCATTCTGAGAATGACACCAACCAAGAAGAAAGCAGAGATGAGACATGGGAAGAATCATATACTGACAATTTCATCTGAACACTCAGACTCAGCCACAGCTTAGCTAGGACAGTGTGTTCAGCGGCAAGAGTCAATCAGATCCATTTGGGGCTGAAGGTGATTCCAGGGGGGCTTCCATCACTTGCAACCAAGAATCTTAACCCACACCCAGAGATCAGAATTAAGGCAACGACCCATCCCAACAACAAGAAAGTTCCAGTCATTTGTGGACTCGCAGTCCCTGAAGGTGATGCTTCAGTATCGATCAGGCAACTCCATCAGCCAAGGTTCTGCTCGTCCATGTGACAGCCTTGCCACTGATCTGGCCAATAAACCACCCATGATGTGCAGCAAACCACCTCTTACTGTTTCAATCTGCCTCAACTAAACCACTAACTCCATTCAGTAGACAAAGACCACAGTACACAGCTTTCCACTATTTAGCAAAAGTAAAACCCTGTCTTGCAAGAAAAATTCTTCTCCAGTTTGAAAGCTAGGAATGTTATGAATAATGTGGTTCCGAAAAGGTGTCCGAGTCTCTGGACTATCTTCTAAATTGTTCTGTAAATCTCAAACCTCTCTTAAAAGTAAAGTCTATTTTAAAAAGGGGGCGGGGGAGGGCTTCCCTGGTGGCACAGTGGGCAAGAATCTGCTTGGGCAGATCCCACATGCCACGGGGCAACTAAGCTCCTGCACCATACCTACTGAAGCCTGCATGCTCCAGAGCCTGAAACTGAGCCCGCAGCCCAGAGCCCATGCTCCACAAGGAGAGAGGCCGCCGCAATGAGAAGCCCGAACACCACAGCAAGAGAGTAGCCCCTAGTCACCGCAGCTAGAGAAAAGCCCATGCAGCAACAAAGACCCAGCACGGCCAAAAATAAACAGGTAAAAAAAAAGGAAGAGCGTTCCCAGATGCTTTGTGCACCCCATCCCCAAACTGTCCATTCTGAATTCATTTCAATATCTTAATCTCTCTACCCGCACTGCCCCAGGTCAGGGCAAGAGTGTATCAGGAACTGTCACCTGTCACTGGTAGAGTGGCCGATTCATACTGGTTGCCGAGGACTTTCCCGGCTTTAGCACTGAAAGCGCCACGTCCTGGGAAACCCCTCAGTCCCAGGCACCCGGGATGGTTTGTCACCCTGTGTATCACATGAAGCCCTGTTCTGCCTCCAGCCTTGTGTCCCTGCAGCCCCACCTCCATGCTCCACACACCCCAGGGCCCCACTCCCACATCCCGAGGCTCCACGTGGAGCTCCTGCTCATCCCTGACCACTCTGCTCCGGCTGCCTCCCCCAGAGAGCACCCAAGAAGGGTTCCCCCAGAGCCCTGAACCCACAGCGACCCTCGCACTTGTCACACCACAGTCACTGGCTCTGTCTTCCCCACCAGCCTGAGTGCTCCCTCGGGGAATGGGCTGTTCTGTGCCCAAGTGCTGTTTACGGCACTGTTTACAGCTGTTTACAGCATTCTTTCCCAGGTCACTCTGGGATCTTCTAAGTCCCCCTTCAATATACAGATCACCAGGTTCTTTAGGCTATAATATGGATTAAGCTGATCTGCCCGATTCAGGGCAGGCAACTCAGGTTTCCAAAAAGCACCCCACAGGCGCTGTGACCTAAACAATGAACCTGGGCAGTTCCCGGGATACTTCAAAGGAACCTGAATCCCTTTATCATTCCCTGGTTGGCCAGACAGCCAGGATGCCCCATTGGGCAGTGAGACTCAGCCAGGTTGAAAGTCTTCCCAAACTGACTTTTAGGATTTTTACTCAAGAAGACAGCATAATGAGTGCAAACCCTGAAGTTTCAAATCCTGGCTTGGATGCTTTTCAGCTCTTGTCACCTTGGGTAAGTGACTTAACATCTTCGGACCTTAGTTTCCACTCTAGAAAATGGAAACAATAATACTTCCAACAACTCATAAGACTTGTGAGGACTAAAGGAAATAACACGCAGGGAGTCCTTAACAAGCACCTGGCACTGAACATGCATTCGATAATCACGAAAGTAACTTAAAAGGGCTCGAGTTGGGCAGAGTTAGGTGAGAGCCCTCAGGCACCTGGGTGCCGCAGCATGCCCAACCTCCTTTAGATAACCCTCCACCCTTCTCAGCCTCATCCACCCACCCCCTAAATTCCTGAAATCCTTAAGCCTCTCCCTTTCCCGTCCAGCTGCCCTCCCATCTAAGATTCCTGCCTCCCTACACAGCCCCATCTTTGTCCTAGGCCTCTCCTCCCCACGGCCTCTCATCCCAACCCCGCAAAACCATTCCTCGCTATGTAATGACTCCTCCTGACTCCCACTCTTTGAGACTTACAAACATTTATTAAGTGCCCGATCCCTGCTAGAAAGGCACAGCTGAGAATTACAGCATTGCATGTGCGTGTGTGCTCAGTGTCGTGTCCGACTCTTTGTGACGCTATGGACTGTAGCCCACCAGCTCTGTCCACGGGGATTCCCCAGGCGAGAATACTGAAACGGGTTGCCATTTCCTTCTCCAGGGTATCTTCCCCACCCAAGGGTCAAACCTGGGTCTCTTGCATTGCAAGCAGATTCTTTACCATCTGAGCCTCCAAGGAAACCCCTATTTTCCATTAATCCTCCCCTCGACCTCAAAAAATCCTAATCTCTGCCTGTATGCTCTGCACCTCTCCCCATTCATTCATTTTTCTCTTTCTTTAAGCATCCGTCAAGATGCTATTGGGTGCCAAGCACAGAGCTAGATGCTGGGAATACAGCTTGTGAGCAAAACAAGCCACCTCTGCCCTCCTGGAAGTACCAGCTTAGTAACAAACACAAAAGTAGTAAAGACACAAAGAATAATTGCAGGTAGTGGAGACGAATCAAATGAATGAAATCAAGAGAAAGATCTAACAGAAAGGAATTGGGGCAGGGGAAGCACTTTAGGTAGGGATGTCTGGGAAGGGCTGGCCCCACTGATCAACACAGCTACTATTATTAGCTGCCTACTGTAGAAGAGATGCTGGCTCAATCTCTTTACACACACAACATTATGGAATCTTTGCACAGTGTTCACCACCCCTATTTGCAGATGAGGAATCAGAGGCTCAGGGAGGTGAAGCAATTTGGCCAAGGTCACACAGCCATTCAATGATGAAATCAGGATCTGAATGCAGCCACTCTGTGCACCCTTGCTTCCCAGAACCACCTTGCCACCTACATCCCGCTGAGCTCTACTTCTGACTCTTTATACTCCCCTAAGAAACTAGTCGGGATTTTTTTTTTTTAATTTTTGTCCTTTACTGAGCACTAGTAGAAGCTTCCACCTTTATGTACATTCTCTAACCCTACCCTCAAAACAATCGTAGAAAGCAGGTGCTGTCACTATAGTCATTTTACAACTGAAGAAACTGAGGCCTAAATTCACGCACTTAAACTCAAACCCACATCTGTCTGGCTCCAGGATCCAGACCTCTGAACCCCTAAGCGATCCGGCCTAAGAAATACCGCCCCGGGGAAGCCTGGTGCCCACGATCCAGCCCCGGCGAGAACGAGGTCTGCATCCGTAAACTGAAATCTGCATCAGTAACACCGAGACTCTTGAGAAGCGGAGCGACTTGCCCAAGGTCACACAAGAGAGGAGCTACGAGGTCGGGGTTCGAAGCCGGGCGCCCTATGTCCAGAGCCATAGCTCTTAACGAGCACACAGCCTTCCCCGAGCGCCTCCCTCGGCCTTCCGCCTCCGCTTTCACACTTCCCAGCGCCCTGGACGGGATCTACGCGCCCCCAAGCCCAGCTCCCGCCCCGCGGCCTCCCCCTTCTGCCCCTAAACACTCACTTGAGGTGGTCCAGGGAGTGAATGTTGCGCGAAGCCTTGCCATGGCCCCCGCCCACCCAGCTCCGCGAGCGGCCGAACATCTCGGCGGTCCCGGCCAGTCGCTCGCCTCACGGTCTCATGCCCGAGCGGCCGACCGGCCGGGCGCCCGTGGCGGCGGCACAAGCGAAGGAGGCAGCGGCGCGGGTGGTGGAGACACCGCCAACCACCTTCCTCCCCGGCCCACAGCCCCACACTGACATTCAGCCGGAACCGGCCGTTCGACCGCCGCGCTTTACGGCCGGCCGCCGCGAGGGATGCTGGGAAATGCAGTTCGCTCGCGAGGCCCCCGCGGACGGGACTCTGCGAAGGAACTGCAAAGCTCGAGTGCATCCTGAAACCGCGGGCCGCGGCCTTGGAAAAGAGGCGGGGCGAGAGGAGGGGAGTTCTCAGTGTCTTAGGGGTGGGCGGAGCCCTGAGAAATGTACCTGTGAAGATGGGTGAATGAAAGTTACCACGGTATTAGCAATTATTGCCTTTATGATAAGAATAACAATAGCTGTTCCTTGGCGTATGCTGTGTGCCACTGCCATAAGCACTTTACACATATTATTTAATTCTCACAACTACTCTATGAGATGAGTACCTTTATTATCCTCCTTTTACCCGAGGAAATTGAATCACAGTGGGGTTAACTTACCCAAGATCATATATAGTACGTGGCAGATCCAAGGTTCAAACCCAGACGCCGTTACTTTTATGCCCCAAGAAACGAAACTGCACCAAACCGGTAACAGCCTGGTTTGTCCTTCACAGTCTTTTTCTACTTGAGTTAAAAAATAAATATTGAAAGGCCTTTGAGCAACAGTGTACCAAAACTGAACGTCCTATACTTTCAGTGGATTTCTCTGGTCTTCACCCCAAATCCATGCCAGTTCCAAAACCCACCTTTTAAAAAATAAGGAAACACCCAACTACTTACACCAGGCCAGAAGATGTATCTAAATTTCTCTCCCGGATTGGAAGTGTGAAATTCCATGGAGGCGATACTGCCCTGCTCACCATTCACCCTTTTCTACACCTCACAGTTATTTAAGGTCTACTGTGTCCCATTAACTGTGCTCAGGACAGAATTGGGCTAAGGGCCAATGTTCTCCCCAATACCTAGCACAAGGTTTGCCACATAATAGGTGTTCAACAAATATCAGAGTGAATGAATGAATGAAAGTTTGTTTCACCTGCAGCAGTTGGAGCAGTAATGGTTTGCTCTATAATTCATTTAAAGGGGCACGAGAGAGCCATGGAGGAAAAAGGGCAGATTCTGGCCTCAAAACATACACAGGCCCAGCAGCTTCCAGGGTCCTTCTGTTTCTCTGGGCCTAGTTTCCTAGTCTGTAAAAATGGGTAACATACTGCACTTCCCCCAGCTGGTTCCAATTAAGCAATGCATGTAAAGCACCCAGCTAAGGGAGGCCTGAGATTTAAAAGTCTGGTTGAAACCGCTTTGGGAGGCACTTTCGGCAAGATCAGTCTCCTGAAGGATGTTTAAGGGGTGCCCCTGAGAAAGGGAATCAGCGAGTGGAAGAGACTCACTTTTCTGTGACTTCTTGGTTGGTTGACTATTTAACCACGTTCGTTATTATTGCTGTAAAACACGTTTTACAAAGTAAAAACAAGAAGCAACCCTACTACTGCAGGTCTGACCTGCCGGGAAGTTGTCCCTGAATTTTATTATGCAGATTCCCCACGCCCCGCCCCGCCGAGGGGTGGATCTTCCAGCAGCCAGAATCTGCAGAGACGAACCGGGCGCCGATAGATCTTCCCCACCGTGGAAAACTGCCACTTTCGGAAAGGCCAAAATTTTCACTGGTGAGGCCCAGCGCCCCCGACTCCCACTCTGCCTCCTTTTTCAACAGGTAAACTGAGTCCCAAAAAGGCGTGGCGCCAATACTCAAGTCCAGCAGGATGCTGATGAAGCTCACGATTTCCTTCAGCTTTTGTAGCCTTAGGATACTTCTCGGTTGTAACCGAGTTCTGAGTCTTTCCCCTCCCCCTACTCTGTCGCGGAACCGCAGAGCGAATCGGATTCGAGATCTGCCCAGAGTCCGGAAACGCTAAGCCGACTCAGAAGCCGGCGCTTGGAGGGGCGGAGCGAGGCAGTATCCGCCCCCGGAAGTCTCGGGCCAATGAGCGCAGGCGTCTAGCGAGCCAATGAGCGCAGGGGATGGGTAGGCGACGAGCCAATGAGCGCGGGGAGGAGCGGCGAGCCAATGAGCACGGGTAAGAGGGCGGCGAGCCAATGAGCGCGGGGCTGCTCCGGAGGCGGTGCTCGGAACGCGACCTGGAGGGCTACGCGGCAGTCGCAGCCATGGGCGCAGCGCCTCAGCGGGCGCCGGGCGGGCACAAGGAACAGCCGGGAGCGGCTGAGGAGACCGTCGCCGGGACTGGTCTTTGACGCTGAGCCGCGGTGGGGAGGGTGCCCGCAGGCGCCGCGAGGGCCAGTGAGCGGGAGCGGGGAGCATCGGAGGAGCCCGGGGCAGCCGCCGGCCACTTCGGGAAGGGGGTTGGGGTGGGGTGGGGGCCTAGCCTGACCGCTGGAAAGGGTCGACAGTGCGGTGTGGCCGCCTCTGCGGGTGGGGTGACCCGCCTGACACCTCTCAGGGGCCGGGGCGCGTCCGCAGGGGCCGACGCACATCTCTTGAGGGGACGCCGCCGGGGCCCAGGGCTGCCTGGGCCAGCCCCGGGGAACCCCTGGAGACGCTCTGGGCCCCCTGGTCCCCTCCGTGCCGCCGCCGCTCTTGCCCTCTATGTTCTACGTGGGCCTGTTCTTCGTCAATGTGCTGATCCTGTACTACGCCTTCCTCATGGAGTACATCGTCCTCAACGTGGGCCTCGTCTTCCTGCCCGAGGACATGGACCAGGCGCTGGTGGACCTCGGCGTGCTCTCCGACCCCGGCTCGGGCCTCTACGACGCCGACTCGGAGCTTGATGTCTTCGATGGTTACTTGGAGTAGGCTCGGCTGCCGTCCCCCCGCCGCTCTCCCCACGACCCGCAACCCTCAACCCGGACCGGGGCCCAGGTCATGCCGCTGCTGTTGATTGAGGGCACCGCCTGGCCAGGGATGGGATCCCCAGGACGAGGCCCGCTTCGGCCGCCAAGGCCTGTAAGTGCCCTCTCGGCGCAGGATGAGGGCGGGCTGGGGCGCTGGCGAGGAAGAGGGAGGCAGCCCAAGCCGGACACACACCCCTCCCCCAGGCCTCTGATTTCCCAGTCCAGATCTGTTTGGATGACGGGAAAGGCTGGATTTTTCTTAGGCCCTAAGTTAGGGTTGGAAGGCTTCCCCTAGCGAAGATGCCAGCAGTGAAGAAGGGAAGGGATGCAGGACCCAAGTGGCTTCCTGGTTAGCCATAGTAGCAACTTCACAGCTTGGGGAGAAAGCTTTTGCACCCAATTCCATTTGAGGCAGGCCTGTCAACTCCTCCCCCCTCCATCCTTAGCCTGCATCGATGGTGACCTTGCCTTTTGGGATACTCCCACTAGTCCTGGAAGGATGAAGACTTGCCGTGTTAAAAGAGGGAGGAAGCCAGGCACGGATCACCTTTGTCCTAGGCCCTTTGGAGGACTGGGTGGGGACTTAGAGCAAGGGTTCCCGGCTGACGCTGTGAGAGGAGAAACCTCCTTCAGCAAAGAACCCTGTACTTCCTGTGGCATTGGCTTGGCTGCCGTTTTGGAGTCAAGTTTCAGGGCGCCCCAGCTCATCAGTTCCGCAGCTCGAATCTGCAGGGGCTGCCAGTTTCGCAGGCTGCTTTCACAGGAGGCCGGCTGGGGCTTGGTGCTGCGGTGGCCTTGCCTGCCTGCTGTGTTTGCAAGGCAAACTCAAGGGGCTTGGGGACCAGCAGGAGAAGGAACTACAGAATCCTTGCACTGAGGCGTTAAAGCCCTGCCTCTGGGCTGCCACCAGAAAGCTGTGTCCGGCCCCACCTTGTGTGTTGGTGGGAGGGAAATGAAGATCCAGCAAGGAGGAAGACATGGCCAGAGTCACGGCCGGGAACAGAGGCAGCAGACGTAGATGAGAGAGGCTCTGGTGATGGTTCAGGGGGTGTGCAGGCGTTTCTCAGCTGAGCCCCTCAGCTGGGTGTGCCAGGCACTGTCCTGAGTGGCGGGACACTGAGGTGGTGGGCAGGGGCTCCTTTTGGAAAACGGGCACTAATGCCAGTCACCCTAAGCATGCTGTGTTTACTCCTTCCTGTTGCCTACGTTAGCCTAGATGACCATAGTCAGAGGCTGATGCAGGGTGGGCAGGACATACTAGTAGTGTCAACCTGGGGGGTGACAGTGAGATTTCTTTGAAGAAAGCTTTATTTGAGCTCAGGGAGACCTTAGCAAGAGCCAAGTGCCTGGTGGCACGTGTGTTGGCTGCTCTGCATACCTGTCCAATTGGCCGGCCTGTCTGCCATCCATCCATCGATTTGTTCTTTTTTTGAACAGATGTTTACCCAGTACTTAGTGCGCCTTGGTGAACACAGTGAACAAGACAGACTCAGACCCAGGCCTCTCGGCACTTGGTGAGAAAGACAAGCAGGTTCCCAAACAAGGCTGTGAGATTTTTGAGAGCTACAGTAGAAAGGTGTGACATCCCCTATTGCATTCACTACTATTTCCTTGCTTAGAACAGCTCCTGGCATCTAGTAATTGCTCAGTAAATGCTTGGATAAGTGAAACAGAGGACTGGGAGATGGGCTGCTTCAGGCAGGGGGTTCAGAGAAGGCCTCTCTGGAGATGTGACACCTTTGAGCTGAGCCCTAAATTGATGGAAGGAACCACACGTGATGATCTGGAGAAAAGCAGTCCAGGCCTAGGGACCCACTAGTGCCAAGGTCGTGAGGTGGGAGAGAGCTGGTTCTTCCAACAACTGCAAGGAGGCCAGTGTGACAGAATAGCCCCAGGAGAGGTTAGTGGGGTGGGCAGAGCCAAATCATTTGGGACCTGGGGTGCCTTGGCCACAAGCAATGTGAGGCCATCAGAAGGTTTTAGGCAGGGTGGGACACAATTCCGGTCCACATTTTGCAAAGATAACTGGTGGTTGTGGGCAGGATGAGCCATAAGGGAAAGTGTGGAAATTGGGAAACCAGTTAGGAACTGGTTAGTTGCTCAGGCCAGAGGTGATGGAGGCTTGGATGAGGCAAAGTTGGTGAAGATGGAGAAACACAAACAGAGCAAGAATGCCTTTTGGAGGTAGAGCCTATGGGATCCACTCAGAACCTGTACTGAGTGTCAATATATACCATGCCTGGTTCTAGGCCCTTTGTGTATTCATTCACTCATTGGGTCATTCAACAAATGCTAACCCTGCCTGCTCTCACACGTTCGATCCCTGGGTGGGGAAGATCCCCTGGAGAAGGAAATGGCACCCCACTCCAGTATCTTTGCCTGGAAAATGCCGTGGACAGAGGAGCCCAGTGGACTACAGTCCGTAGGGTCGCAGAGTCGGAGGCAACTGGGCACGCATGCGCACAGGCTCCCTGCCGCGCCCTCGCGGTCCCCCGGTGAATCCCCGCCCCCAGCCGAGCTTTGGACTTGCAGCGGTGCAGCTTGGCGATGAACGTCTTATTTTATCTCTTCACCACATCAACTGCAACACTTGCCATTCCAAATGAAAACATTGGCACTCTCTGGACCAAGATGCGAAGCCCAAATGCTTCGGCATACTTTGCAGCCAACACTGTTTGAGCAGAAACACCAGGAAGTGTATCTCAAGGACACCCTTGCAAAGCTTTCCAAGTGACAGGGCCTGACTCGGGCAGGTGGGGAGGCCCGGGGCTGTGGGAAATACTGGTGCCTGGAGAAACGATGGGAACCAGGCACTGCATGCCTTCTTGCTCAGTCCCAGATCTAAGCCACGGTGGCCTACGTCCCAAAGACGGGAAGCCCAGAGTCCATTTGGGGAGGGGTGGCTAGTAGCAAGAAAAGCCTGTGGGAAAGATGAAAGGTGATCTGACTGCACCTACTCTCCTGGCCCCTTTTGTAAGCCGAACACCAGTAGTTAAATCTTGCTCCTTCTCGTTCTTTCTCAGGTAGACACAGTCTCTTGTTACACACAGGCCAATCCAGGAAACACTGACTAAGGATATGGGCTCGCCAGGCATGGGGGACTAGGGTGATCTCAGGATGAAAGGTGCACTCATTTTTGCTCCCTCTCTTTTTTTCCACATTACTCAGTTTCTCAAATGTTTGTTGAGCACCTATTTAAGGAGGCAGTATTAGGCTTCCCTGGTGGCTCAGTGGTAAAGAATCCACCTGCCAATGCAGGAGACTCAGGTTTGATCCCTGGTTTAGGAAGATTCCCTGGAGGAGGAAATTGCAACCCACTCCAGTATTCTTGTCTGGGAAATCCCATGGACGGAGGAGCCTGGCGGGCTACAGTCCATGGGATCGCAAAGAACTTAGACTCAAGATAACCTAGGTTCAAATACGAATCCTAGTTGTGACCTTGGGCATGCTACAGTACCTCCCCAGGTGTCAGATTCCTCTTCTGTAAAGCAGGGATCATAATCTACTTCATTTTGAGGATTGAAGGAGATAAGATGTGAAGCTCTTAGACCATCCCCTATGTGTGTGACACATGAAAGTTAACCACTATTATTGTACACTCAGGCCCTTGTGAATGTAAAAACCTGCATGTACCCTCAGGTATGCATATTTATATCCCTTGATGAGCAGGACAGGCTTCCCTTGTGGCTCAGCTGGTAAAGAATCTGCCTGCAATGCCAGAGACCTGGATTCCATCCCTGGGTCGGGAAGATCCCCTGGAGAAGGGAACGGCAACCCACTCCAGTATTCTGGCCTGGAGAATTCCATGGACTGTGGAGTCCATGGGGTTGCAAAGAGTCGGACAGGACTGAGCAACTTTCACTTTCTCTTCTTTCATGAGCAAGAGAGGACTGGCTGCCTGAGTTCTGGGCAGGTCCGGGTCTGAACCACCAGGACAGACTTCCCACTCTGCCTGGCTGGCCCGGGACCCTCAAGAGGCCTTTCCCGTCACCCCGTGGTCTCTAATGGCCACCCAATCTGGAGAGCCATGGCTGTGGTTTTCCTCGAATATTCTTTGTTGCCCAGGAGCGGGGACTGGGGACCAGGCGCTCCTTCCCGGGAGAGAGGGCTGCTGCAGCTGGCCTGGGCACTGGGGAGAGTCCTCACGTCCCAGCGGTTCCACTGCGGAGGCAGCTTAGCTGGATTGATTTGTCCTGGTTCCTGATGAAAGCAACCTCTGCCTGCCAGTGCTCTCTTGGCGTGGAGGGAGAGGAGGTTCTCTGCGCTGGAAATAGAGGGACTGGAGAGCATTGCTGCCCGAGTCAGCATGGCCTGGGGGAGGCCAGGTTGGGAGCTAAGGGTAGGCAGACCAGGTCTGCTTATCACAGGGTTTCCCGGATGGCAGTGTCCTGAGTGGTGCCACAGCTGACCCTTCCTGACCCGCCTGCCCTGGTCTCTTGGTGGCAGTCTGTGGCCTGTGCCATCAGCAGAACACTCAGGCTGGGCATCTGGCTTCCTGGCTTGGAAACCCAAACCTCCCTTGGTGACAGGGGCCGCTCCCTCCTCCCCAGGTGGAGCTCTGGGGAGGGGTCAGGGCAGACGGGGGAGCCAGGTGGGAGGGAGACAAGTGGTGGTGACGCGGGTTGATGGGTGCGCCCCCAGGCCCTGCTGCCTCTCCAGCTCTCTGAGGCCCCCTGGGAAGTGGAGAAGACCCCCCATGTGTCTCAAGATAGCCGAGGTCCTGGGGGCCCCATTCCCTCATGCCCAAGTTGTACAGACTGGAGTTTTCATCTGAGGGAAACCCGCACAGCCCTTGCCTCTGTTTCTTGAACTAAGAAATGAAGGGCTCCTGTCAACTTGACCACTGTATTCCTGGTTTATGTGCCAGCCTCCCCTCCTGGGAAACCAAGACCACAATAAAAAGGACAGGCAGCGGCATCCCCATGTCTCAGGGAAAGAGACTGAGGCCTGGAAAGGGGGGAGGGGGGGTGAGGGACCAGGGGTACAAAGCTGGCAAGACAGCCAAGCCCCTGACCCAGTGCTGAGGGAGGGTGCAGAGGGGCTCCCAGCTCCCCTCCTTGGCTTTCCAGGCTTGCCTCATATGTTCTCTTGGTCCTTGGTCTGAGTTACTTT